TGGCTATATTTGTATAGTCTGAAACTCTCTATATTTTTTTTTCTCGTTCAAAATTGCGCTTTCGTTGCTGGAACTTCGCCGTGCTGGATACAATTTGCAGAATACCAAACAAAGGATGTCTCTTTACATGCCGTTATAAAATTCTATCCACAGTATAATACTGATCTACACTTTAGCTGTGAAGACGAACCTGTAGCGTGATCCGTAGCTTAACATATGACGCGAACCCTTCGATGTATTTGAGCGAAAGGAACTAGGAAAGTGTTTTCCCCTATGTTTATGCATCCTAGGTAACAGAACAACGAAACATCGTTGGTGTAATCTCAAATAAAAACCGTCTAGACCATCTACAAACAGTTTAAAGAGAGGGAAATGCAAATGAGGTAGATTAAAACAGCGAATAGTAGCGAGCGACTCCCACCTCCAACCGCGCTTTTCCAAGGGGGTCAAGTTTCCGATATTCTTTTATGCTCGCCAATCACTATGAGTGGATAATACCTTAGTGGCAAACCCAGAGTTTTCATAACAAAATTGCACAAGTTTTGCGCACAAACTTAAACATTGTCACCCAAAATTCTATCGCTGGTGGAGAATTAGGCAACATTATACGCTTGTAATATCCTCACTTCCTGTATTCATTTGTTCATTTACCCAAGATTACACCGTGTTTCAATTGAACAAGAAGTAGCTTTGCAGGAGAAAGCTCACACCATATTTTCTCGGCTAAAAGCAAGTCCCTCATCGAGTGCTCATCACACGCGAAATGGCCAAGAAACCAAGATGCCCTGAGTTTGCCATTTTTTTCTTGGCGCTGATGTGCTTGGGATCTCTAAATCTTTGCGAAGGTAACGTTTTCTGTTTCCTCTGCTTAGTCGTAAAAATATTCAAAGACGCAAAAGTTTTTTCATTAGGAGTATCATGAAAGTAGTGTTTGTACTCCACCCGAGGCGCTTGTATTCTGTTGAGTGTTATTAAGAATTTAAAACCTATTTTCCTGCACGCAAGAGAGAAAAGGGTTTACGCTTTAAAGGAAACCCGATCGAATATAACTAGATATTTCATGCATACACCTTTACCACCAACTGTTAGAAAACTTCATTTTTTTCGTTGTTTTTCTTTGAAGTGGTCTTCGATGCAGGCCATCAGTTCAAAAATAATTCACAAAACTGCGACAGCTCTAGCGACGGTTCACTTATTCGAATTACATTATTGCTGGTCAGGGACGGGGTTGGTTTCAATAACTGATTATTTTCGCACACAAACAGGTGATATCGGTTAGATTTAAGAGACAGTTCTCTTGAGCTTCCCTATTGAATTCTTACCATAAAAACTGAGTGGGAGATAATAGTTCAAGCGTGCTCTCGTTATAGATACGTACAAGAAATATAATTTGGTATGGCTTGTAAAAAAAATTCAAGAATTAAATCAGTTTGTGATTTTGAGCTGCGGTTCTTGTCAATCTCATTGAGATATCTTCAGGAGGAAAATAAATAGATATTTCTTTGTATAAAAAAATTTTCCCAACTTTTTCCGGTATTGTCCACTCCAAAAAATCTTTTCAAAGGCTATGCAAATATCGAAAGAAGTTGATCGATTACGCCGTTTGAAGAATTAAAAATATGCTCAGTTGTACATCATCATGAAGAAGATTCGAGAATCACATTTTGCGCATATTAGAAGTCGGCGGTTTGACACACATAGAATTTCTTATATTTTCTTATAAATAATCCTGTGTAACAAGAAAATTTTCCAAATTTGCGTGTTACGAACGGTTTCAAGCCGTTTCAAATGAGCATGCTATTTGAAATGTTTCTTTAAGGAACACAACATGATACCGAGGTTGCTCGGCGACATGTTTGTTACAACAAGAAAATGAATCCACGGGATACAACATCTGCCATTCTGAAAAACTTGAAACTAAGCAACTCAAAACTAATCCTCTAAGAAAAAAATGTGCCAAAGGCAAGATGCACTTGAGTGACTGCAAATAATTCTTTTTTCCAATTGTTTTTTCGCGGTCAAATTCTTTGTTTCGTGCGACCACGCGATGAATAATCCTTAAGCAACTTTTCTTGCTAAGCGATGAATATTGAAAATTTTGCTTGGGGAAATAGGTAATCTTTCACCTAATAGGATTAATAATTCATCATAGGCGAGAATAAGTGAAACTTAGGTACAGAAACCAGGCAGCCTATTCAATCGCATAAAGACGTATTTCATTATTTCGTTTCTGATCTCAACTTCCCGCCGGCGTCGACTACTGCGTGTTTGCATAACATATTTTCACAAAACAACGCTTAGGACCTTTTAGGGAAGCAGGTAACAATCAGTGACCTAAGCTGCGCTTGAAAGTACGTTTCGACATGGAATGTCCAATTTCTGCAAAAACAGAAGGGAAAACTTA